ACGCGACTCCCAACCTCTTGAGCTAAGCGGAAAGGCAGTACAGAAAGCGCATTACTTACTTGAATTAATTTTCTCAACATTATCCCCTCGTATACATGTCTAGTGACACCTTACACAGTAGTCTGCAAAGGGAAAGATTCCCTTTACTTCAAGCATCCCGAACGCCCTCGCTTCCTCCTTACATATCCCTCAAGCTCCTTTCTCGAAGGTTCCTTGTCCCGCTTTTTCCTCCAGCCAATCACCTTCCATTTTTTTCCGAACGGATTCCAACCGTCCTCCCTGTCAATCATCATCCGTATCCCACTCTTATCCGTGTTGTATTTCTCCTCCACAATCCCTTCAATTCCTTGCCTCTAACCAATCACCTTCCAGGCCCGTTAAGTGCAAATCAGAGGGCCTTGTTTAACTTCCGGACTGCACGTGTCATGCACGCCTGTGTCCATAACGTCCGGTGAGTATTTTCGGTTGTGATTGAAGCACTACACATGCACATTATCTACATACTTTGGTTTCCTTCCACGAACACACACGATGCCCAAAAAATGTTGTATTGGCCAAACATCTAAAAAGCAGGTCCCCTCATGCTAATTTTTTTGCCACTATGTGAAGCTTTCCTGGATAAGCAATTAACTTTATTGTAGTCCTAAAAGGCAAGGGGGAGTATCGAGCCTTGCACTGCTGACATTTTGAGTTCAAATCAGTGGCGCAGACCAAGGTAAACGCCGGGTATTCCTTTCGCAGAAACTTTGATGGTTTCACTGCAGTCAGAAATACCGCACAAAACAACTTAACTAATATCCTTGGTTCTTTCGGTAAAGTTATTTTATTGTTTCCCTTCTACGTGACTTTACCGAAAGAACCAAGAATATGAATCCCTGCAGTCACGAAAGCTTTAAATCAAAACTTAACTAATGGCTGGTAGGGATGGAAGAATGGGGACAACTGCATGAAGAAGCCACAGAGGCACTGCTTTCAAACATAACCTCTCACTGGCCCTGCCTATCAATCCTACCCTATCCTTTCCCTGCTCTGCCACCTCGCATCTCCCACCCACAGTTTAAATATCACCAGGTGATTTCTTCACATTACACGTCACACATCGCAACACTTTCTTCATCAGCTCGCAATATGCTCCCATTTTTATTCTCACAGGGAGACATGAACGTAACTAAGGAATATAATTAAAATATACAACAGCCGTAAAAAAAAGACATGGTACGATATAAATATGAGCTGAATATGTTTAGATCATGTCAATGGATTATTCACAAATATGTTAGATAACTTGATTAGAATGTATGTGAATAAATCAAGAATTCCAAAATATAGCTTACAATATTGGAAGGGTGCCACGGTCGCGAGATGTTAACTACCTCGCCAGATATACAAGAGGTCGTTCGTGGGTTTCATCCCAACCCTGACCCTTCTTTATTCGGAGTTTGTATGCTCTCCCCGTGGTCGCGTGGACTTTTCTCCAGGTCCTCTGCTTTTTCCCTCCACATGTATAAACATGCATTTAGAGTATTTGGCTGCGATACATCTCCACATGATAAGCCACTTCGTTGAACATATCGTTTGTGGCCAGGTCGCTTCTGAAAAAGAGCTATATAGCTCAGTGGGACTTACCTGGTATAATAAAAAGAGTTTCCTTTTTTTGTAATAGATACCTCTGTTTACAACGAAAAGCCTAAACGATATACATGTTGACGATGGTTCTGTTACATGTTATAGCAAATATTATTTAGAGGTATGCTACATGTAGGAGGAAACCAAATTGCGGTTAGCCACCACACACAGAAGGGTCACAATCCTACTGGCAGCAGTGCCCCGTCGAGACACCTTGGTATCTTGAAGCAAAGTGCCTGTGATTCGCAAACCCATCGTCAAATCTCTCGATTACCACATTTGCCGGGAACGCGCTTGGTTTGACGATTATCCATTTTAATTTATTTGGTGTGTGTACGGTAATGCATTTGCATGTGCATTGTATACACACATCGGGGCCATCAATCCTCCCAGCTCAATAGAACACAGTGATTACTGAATTGTGGAAAGTCAGCGTTGTTTGTCCTCGGGGTTCAAGGCCAGCATAGGAAGGAGCCCTGCATAATGTACATTTGAGAGTGACGCACTTCTATTTTGTGAACATCAGTACGGTACAATGCGGGTTTTGATTACGGAAAGACATTTGACAATCCAGGCCTTAGAAGTATTTTACTCATCGGAGCATGTCTGAATCAGTATTTTCGAGCTGCATTGATAACGCGTGCAGAAAAAGTATCCGGCAACTTCCATGTAGCAAGACTTTGTAACATCAGTAGTGTTATCAGCATGTGAATCTACAAATATCACTATCCAGAGTGCATTCTTTAAGCAAGCTGTCTAATATCTTTGCCTTTGCACAAGAACAATTCTAAATAAACAAATAACAAAATTCGGTATGTGTGTTGACCACATGTTTTCTTCAGTTGTGGGTGAAATTCCTCATTTTAATATAACAAAAAAACAGGTGGATACAATCTCATTGTTTTCATACCCTCGAAATTAGTTTTAATTTTTCGGATAAAATCCTGCGTACATTCATTCTACACTGGTGAGATACGCGGAGCTGTCGGGATGTGTCCAACGTCGAACGCATCCCTGACAAACTGCGCCGAAGCTGAATGCCGAGCAGTGGCGCATTTAGCTGGGATGTCCACAAATGAAAGGGCACGGATTTGTAGTAAAAAGGCACGGTGCACTTTCATCACAGGTGTCAGTATAAAGATAGAATGTGGAGACATTCGAGGACGTTGTTGAATTGGGTAGTGACGTTGCAATAACCCAGGAGAATTGGCGAGAGAGAGATGTCAACAGATGTATTCTTTTTTGCAGGGCGCTGACAGCAAGAAATGACGTGACCCACTCTGACAGAATATAGAGGTCAATTCTCGTGTTGGAGATGGATGCTTGAGGCAGGGTAAAGTCTGTTACTGTTAAGATCAGAGGGCTTTGCACATTTAGAAACCCAGAAACACAAGAAGCTGTTGCCCTTTGAATAGAAGTGCATGCAAAGGATGCTTGTAATTTAATGGCAGGACAACTTGAATATCCCCTTTCTAGCCTTCAACATCCCCCATGGTCTCACGCCTGCGCACCTTTCGCCTTTGATCTCACTATATTCCCATTCACTTGCTCTCAGCTCCAGCAACCAAGGCCCTCTGTCAAAACCTTCGCTCTGTGGGAGATCGCCCATTCTTGTCTAAATCTACCTGTCTCTCATCTCACTACAGAACAATTTTACCTCAATGAGCCAGCACCAACCACTGTCCAAACCCGCTCTTCTGCAAACATGCGGGATATTTCGCTTAATATCTCAGAATTTCCCTGGACTGCGCAGGAAAGCGGACGTGATAACGCTTTGGTTTTGTGTTGCGGAACGTTTCACAAAACCCAAGTTCTGCCCCCATGCGTTTTGAGTATTTGGCTGCTATAAATGGCCACATGATAAGCCACTTCGTTGAGCTTTCATTTCTGGACATGTCACTTCTGAAATTGAGCTATATAGCTCAGTGAGCCTTACCTGGTAAAATAGATTTTTAATAGTTTAATAGTTTTCCTTCCATCAATCTTGAGATCATTGTGGTTGTTGAGCATACATCACCCACCATAAAGGAAAACCACAAATTGATACAACTTAAAGTGATGAAAGTAAAAAACAGCATTCCTGTTTCTATTTAAATGCCATGTTGTCTCATGATTTCTGAAGAAAAGAAATATGTATTTCAAGTACAGTAATAATAACTCTTGGGACATCATAATTTAATCACACCCTTGCTAATTCTATTTTCCATATGAATGCATTACCAAGGTAAAATATTGTATGCATTAAAAAGACACACACAAGTTGCCTTGTTACTAAAGAAGAGCCAATGTACAAACCATGAGCATACAATATATATTTTATCATAATAGACTGTCAAAGATGACATCAGTGGAATATTTTAGGTCCACATGGGCATTTGCTTCGAGCTAAAAAACTGTTAAATGCTGAAAATGTTGTGCCTTTTAAAACGCTATCTTGTAATTGTTACCATAACTTAATGATGCTTAATTATGTTTTAGTTTTAAGTGACATCTTTTTGGTGGATGCCAAGCGTTGTGCAGTGCAAATAAAAAAAACAAAGATTTAATGAGACATGAATCAGCCGATTTAATTAAAAATTAGCAAATGTTGTTTGATTCACTGAAACAACCACACCGTTGACACTGGGTTTTGTGTAAACAAATATTATTCCACCGTTCATATTACCGATAGTGATTTAAAGACAAAGAGGGTCAAGATGTCACAATACTGTGGAAGCCCCAGTCTTCCCCTTGCATGTTGAAGTTTAATCTTGTATAATGTTGAGCATTACCCATTATTTCCCTTTTGCTGTACCTTCGTGCATCCAAGTCTAAAAGTGGCCAAAAGTTTAATGTGACTGACCCATAAATCCCGTGATTTGAAGGCAGTGTTGGTGGATTACACGTATTTCATAATTAACCATGAGGCTCTCAACGTGCTAAACTGCATGGTGGCCAAAAGACAGCAGTCCAGTAAATAGGTTCCTCACTTGGCCGTGCAGATTTTTTGTTTTTTCACGTGGCATGTGATTTCTTCCCACATGTAAAACTCCACCCGGGTAACAAAATTAAATCAATTTGGTGTCGCACTCACCTTCATTAACGGCCCTGAAACAGTCGTGGGAATTAAATATTCCTGTGGCAGATGGCAGTCTCTTGCCCTGGACAACCATGGACATAATTTCTATGTACATGCATAATTTATGTTAAGTCACCAGCAACCCTATCGGGTTAGGGTTGACACCTCTGAGGCACAAAAACCAGGACGTGTCATGGCAAGAATATCTCACGGCACGGGAGGCGGGCAGAGCTTCACGTGAACGCATCGCCTTGCCACCTCAAAAGGAGGACAATCCTGGCCAGGGGAGAAACACTACCAGTGGAGCATCGTCTACCTTGGGGAGGTCGGAGTCGTCCTCGCTGATCATTTCCCAGGTTTCTCCATCGAGGCTCGTGGCCAGGCGGAACTTGCGCACGTGCAACCGGTTATCCGGAACGGTGCCGGACTTGGCGCCCTGCAGGATGATGCCGCGGACGGTGTGCCGCCCGCCCAGCTCCACCTGCAGCCACTCACCCACGGGGTGGGACGCCCCGTGGGGGGGCATTGGCGCCCAGCCGTACGCGGAGCTGAGCAGCCGCGCACTCGATGGAGCCCAGTTGAGCCCTCGCTGGGACGAGGACTGCAGCTGCCCATCTTGTATCCTCCCGGAAAGCATTCCCAGCATGCCAGAGCAAGGGTAGTCTGTGGGCACAATTAATCATTTGCCGCTTACATGGAGAATATGGTTATGCTCCTTCGTCTTATGGCTGTGGTGCACAAATACAAATAAGAAAAAAGTCGATGCTCTCGTCAATATCGCTGTGGCCTGAAAAGTGCAAATATATAATACGTGACGTTTCAGGCAATATGGTCATTCTCTAAAGATGTACGTGCTGTGAGGAAGGGGCGTTGCCTAAAACATTGCCTATTATGCATTTTTCGTTTTAAGGCCACAGTTTTATTGGCGAAAGTGTCCTGCTAATTGATTCGGTGTGTGGCACGGCATGGTGTAGTAACAGTGTCCTGTTTTAGATAACTTACATGGGTCATGGCAGTAGCAGAAGTGCAGCGATTCACGCACTGCGCTATGCACCCGTTGACCTGAGTTTGATTACTGGCCATGGCTATTAATGTTGTATAGGACAGCTGTGATGGCTATTCTCTGATACACAAGAGTGAGAAAAGGTTGCATAGATTCAAACACAACAATATTTTTGTTCTGCAGAAAGGATTGGAAAAATGCAGGCATTACAATCAATGGAGAAATCTTAACTAAGATTTTAGATTTGTTGATAACAGTAATTTTAACGTCCAATGGAAATGAATAAACCCAACGTGTATCTGTGCTCAACAAGCAATGGGGAAGTTCTCATCTCTATTGGCAGCCTTGAGACAGATGGGAATTCCACATTCCCATGCCAGTATTTTCCTGCAATGACTACAATCATATAATGCATATTATTACGTGCCATTAAATATGGTCCTATTTAATATTTTGTTTGCTCAAGGTGACCTGGGTTAATAAAGACTACCATATCATGTTTCGTCCGGATACTGCTGCTTTATTACAAAACCCTTACGTGGTGCCTCGTGCCTGAAACAAGGACAATGTAGACCCTGCTTTAACGTTACCATTCACACTGGAGGAATTATCCATAGTGCCCAGCTTTAAGCAGTGAGGAGGGCAATAAAACACGAATCCAGACTGGTTGTTTGATCTACCCTTAGGTAACACAAGACAGAACGTACCCCTTATTAGTGCAGAAATGTATTATAATGATGATCATTTCCCTGACCTCATTATGAAATAGTTCTTTTCAAAGTGGCCATCAAGAAAAAAATGCTTTTCGTTCACGTTGTAGTAATTTCATTTGCTCTCCAATGAAGGTGTTACTGAATTAGGAATTACTGCGTATTGATCGTTTTGGATTCCTTGAAAGATGGGGAACATTTATGAAGTCAATGTTTAATAAATAAAAATAACATTCATATCCTGAGGCTCATTACAAAAAAAAACAACGCTGCCATTGCACAAAAAAACATTGACGTCCAGCATAAATTAAAACTGAGCCACGTTCTTGAAAAGGAAAACAGAAAATAACAGGCGTTAACGTGCAGAACTATTATAATTAAAATGTCAGAAGGTTATATCAGAGAGTGTAATGATATGGTCATCAGTGTACCTAGAATGCCACCAAAAAGGATAATATTGCAGAGCTCTAATATATGCTTTGATTTGCTATGCAAATGACACATCCTTAGATATGCAGGACGAATACGCCTGGCCTTTCCCCGCCCTCTCATTATCCTTGTGTAATTATGAAATGATTGCTGCAAACTGTACCTAAACTCCCAAAAAGTCAACTAAAATATGATTTCTTGTTCAAATAAGCATTCAGGCAGTGCTTGTTCCCTGTTTACAGCCCTACGGGTGAGGGGGGGGGGGAGCGAATCTATCCATAGGACAATCACCGTTGGCATCGTGGTCCTGATTTTATGATACCCAGTGGGATGATTGGTTGAGTCAACCACCAACCAGGATTTGAACTCGCAACTTTCCGTTTTGCAAGCCGCTCCGTCGACCGTTGAGCCACGTGACCGGTTACCACCAACCGAAGGTGGATTCAGCCAAATTTCTTAATTCACGATAGAAGATATGTGGACTAGATTCACCTGTGGAATAAAAATATGGCAGAGCCTTCGCTTGCAGCACAGAAGGCGGCCAATTCTGAGTCAGCGCAGAGCGTTGATTTCCAATGCAGTGTCACGAAGGGCACGGCTTAAACTTCCCCCAGGTGGCAACCAATCAGCCTATTATCTAGTTATAGTTCATAGTTCATTTATTTGGTATAGCCCTGTGAGCCATTCGGCTCTTGAATCGGGTGCAACCGCAACAAACAAAAAACATGAACAAGAAAACACGAATCTGATACAAGGTGGTGCACAGCTAGCTGTGAGAGTTTCCGAATTGACATTTCTTCACCACCTGACGTGACGCCGAATATATTTTTGGGGAAAAAGTAAAAGAAACCCGTATCATCTCGGCCCGAGAAATAGCATGAGATGTATTGTCTGATGCATGTGTGGCATCATTACTTTGTATGCAATATTGAGGGCACTTTCAGTTTTTCTATGGTGCCATGCCACCTAAATATATATATTCACCATTGTGTGGATTACAGTACAGTTCTGGCCTGCGCATATCTTTTGAGTTCCTTTGGAGTTCTCATTGGCAAGTAAAGAACCTCAAATTGTAAAATAATCACGCAGCATCTTAAATCAGATTTCGAGTTTATTCCCAACTTGGAGTGGGTGTTTAAAGGAAACAATTTCACTTACAAAAAAAACTGAGAGTCAATGTTTTTTTTTTGGCAAGTCTCTGTACATGCACACGCACACACACACACGTGTGTGCAATTCAACACTTTCATAACATATGCCCAACGCTCCAGCAATGGCGTCTTCTCTCACTTTGATGGCACAGCAAATTAGAACTCCTTCAAGCTATGAGGTGCAACCGAAACAGTTGGTCATGTGTTTTTAGCTGCTGAAAAATTGATGCTCTCTAATGGTCGACCGATGCATGAGCCATCAATAGAGGGTCCGTTCAAGTGGAGGCAGGCATTGATGAGGCAGCTGTGTGGTGGTTTGCATGACAGGCTCTTTGCTTAAAGCCTTTTAAGCTGCCTTTTTAATTCGGGATTGGATGCACCAATAGTGGATGAGCGTTCCCTACAGGAACCAGTTTATTTTTGATCATTGCCAACATGACGATGCCAACATTTTTCCCAAACTGAGTTTAAACATTTGTCTTTTTGTTCGAGAGTTCGTTTGTAAGTTAACTAAATTAACATTTCGCAAAGACACATGTTGTTGTTGTTGTTGTTTTCTTATTATGAATGCGGTAGTCACCGCGCTTGTCATAGCAGTTCTGGAAGGTCCAACAAAGACATTTCAAGTGATATAGCACGTGATTTACACGCTCATATGGAAAAGTTGCCAGATGAAGGTTACAGGGATGTGACCTAGGCAGACAATTTTTTTCCGTGGCATCTTCACAAATGGCATGTCAGAGTCGCCAATGAAAGTAGCAAGGGTTGGACATGCGCTACCTGAATGGATGAGACTGTCATCGGAATACACGTAAGCAATGATTTCATCGTCTTTCCCCATGGTGTTTTTTTTCTCTCTCCACTCAAGTCCACATGTGCAACACTTGCAATACCGTGCATTGAGAGTACCGCTGTCTTGTTCTATTGTACGGTACTTTCAACTCAGGTAAAACAAATTTACAGCTCTTGGATAGCTGGAATTCAGAAAAAGGTTGCTTAAAAAAAAACACGTTTAAGCCACTTTAGTATGTGCACAAAATTCACCGCCCATTTTGTGTCATTAGCAGACAACGGAAAACATTTTCCAGCAAAAAATATGTTTTTTTTATTTCCATGGCATGACGAAAAATGAGCATGCAATCTGGGGTTGTGTCTCTGCACCAGTAGGTGCTGCACTACGAGCACAGCGGCTGTGATGTCCCTGCCCTGGGAATGTAGATATGTCACCAGCCCCATGGAGATGATCTCCACTGCAAGCTTGTTTAAACGTGGAGACCTTCTGGCTGGGCCGCATGTTCGAGAATTGCAAGACGGGAACGATGTCGAGTTGTGGCGTGATTTGGGAGAGCGTGAGCCTCGGAGCTCGCTCGAGAACGTTAAGTCTGTCCTTGTTGCTAACCGTGGCGTGGCCACACTAATTGCCCTGTGCGATTGGAATGCGGTAAGGTGATTCTACTTTTACAGTCAAGGCTTGTCATGAGATAATTCAATCCTCGTTATTCCATGATTCCGAAGATCTATTTTTCACGTGGGTTCTGCTACGTTGGGGGTTGTTAGGCCAACACCAACTGCATTGCATGTTTCTTAGCTATGGGAGAAAAACTAGAGAACCTGGAGGAAAGCCATGCAGAACGGGGAGATAACGTGTAAACTCCACTCAGAAAGTTGGTCGAGTCAGCAATCAAACCCAGGTCCTTCTTTTTGTGAGGCGCAAGCGTTACCACTGCGCCACCCTTTCTCCCAAGCTGGCAGGTAATACAGCATTGTCACGTGATGTAGCACTGCCTACGCTCAACTCAATCAGAGTACACTCGATCTAGTCAGATATAAGTGAATCAGCCTTGAGCCCGGATAGTTACGTGGCGGGTGAATGTCACGCACAGAAAACAGTTGTAACAGCAGGTGTTCTGGGCACTAGAGGGCAGCGCAGCAAACGCCATTGTTCTCCACTCTCCCAACCTTCAACTCTCATTGGCCAGCATGGGTGGCATGTGGTCAAATATCCCTCACGGCCCCTCGAGGTGTGGTAAAGCCCATCAGCCGGCAGTCGACCGACGCAAAGAACGGTCGTGGTACGTACGGCAGGATGCATGGTGTGCTGTGGCATGGCACGGTGTGGTAAGCAGCAGGGCATGCCGTAATAATGCAGCGCGGGCAACTTACCGGAGATGTGACATCCGTACAGCTCAAAGCGGAGGGCGATGCCATTCTCCCAGCTCCGGGGCCTCACGCGCACGAACCGCGTCAGCACAGGCTCTGAGAATTTGTTCTCCACCAGCGAGGATGCGTCCGAGTTGGCCGAGAAGACCTGTGGAGCGTTAGGCCCTGGGTGTAGTTACTCTGGTTGGAGTTCGCACGTTCTCCCCGTGGTCACGTTGATTTTCCGCTGGGTCCTCCGGGTTTCCCCTCCACATTTAGTAACATGCGTTTAGAGTATTTGACTGATAGAAATTTCCACGCGATAAGCCACTTCGTTGAGCTATCATTTGTAGTCAGGTCGTTTCTGACAAAAGAGCTACATAGCTCAGTGGGCCTTACCTGGTAGAATTAAAATGTTTTTTGTTTAAATTGAGATACGAATTAGATTCATTATTTTGTGGTAGTGCATGTCTAAGATCCCGGCATACATGTACTTATTCTTTATCATATATGTAAGCATAGCATATGTAATCAGGGGGGATCAGTGGTACAGTGGCTATAGCATTGTGTGATTAACCTGAGCACCTCAGTTTGATTCCCGGCCATGGCTAACGCCAGTAGTGACTGATAATTGAACTGGGCCTGCACTACCCCTAACCAAAACTCACTGAAGAGTGCGGTGAAATATCGTATGCGCAGAACTTCCCATAGCTGGCATGACATGGAGATGCCTTCATTGAACAGTGGATTTACATAAGACTGTAAATAATGGCGAGATGTTAACTCCCTCGCCTGGTATACAGAAGGTTGTGGGTTCGATCCCGACCCTGACACCTGTAAATTTGGAGTGTACATGTTCTCCCCATGGTTGCGTTGATTTTTCACCGGGTCCTCCGGTTTTACCCTCCACATTTATAAACATACGCTTAGAGTATCTGGCCGCTATAAATTTACACGTGATAAGGCACTTTGTTGAGCTATCATTTCATAGCCAGGTCGCTTCTGAAAAAGGGTTATATAGCTCAGTAGGCCTTAACTGGTAAAAGAAAAGTTTAGTTTTTTAGTTTCTTAATATTATTATGGTTAATGAAAGGACAGATGACTTAATAATGCAAGCAGATTTCAAAACAAACAGTTTGTTACAATGTGGCTCTGTGAAGTGTGAAACTTTGCGTACCTTGGGCATCCTTCCCTCTTTCAACATCATCCAATCGTCTCCATTGCTGCTGACTTCCATCTTGTATGATGTCACGTAGTAGCTCTTCTTGGAGTCCTTTGAAATGGCGCCCTGTGTCGCGATTCCACTCAGGATTTTCAGGTAGCCTAGATCAGCCTATTGAGATAACAAAAAGGAGAGTTCACTGGGCTGAAAACAGGAATTTAAATAAATGAGTTAAAATAAAATATTATCTTTGCAAATGGCAGTCTTCATGAAAAACAGAGAAACGTAATCTCTATAAGCACATGCACATTATCACGTTCGTTGCATTTAAAATCGTTGCATTGAATGTCACTCGTGTTGTTTTTACTTTATTTCTATATATATTTCCTCCCAATATATTTTAACTGTGTTTTCAGAGTTGTATCGAGTTGAGCTGAACAATCAGAATATGTATTTAGACTGGAGGAATCCGATGAGCTATGAAGCTCTTTTTGCACACATGTCTAGTAGGTTTCATAGATATCCAGTAATGTTCAATCAGAGCTATCATTCTAAGGGGCCGTCCATAAATGACGTCACGCGTTTTTGGACGATTTTTGACCCCCCCCTCTCGTCACATGGCGTCACAAAAAGTCAGACCCCCCCCCTCAAATATGACGTCACAAAACTCTGCCCCCCCCCAAAAAAAAAACATGTTTCAAATCACTTTAAACTATTGTCATTGTCGTGCGTATTTAATGTGGCGATGCATTCTGATGTAGGAGAAAACATTTATTAAAAAGTCTATTTAATTCAGTAGAACGCGTTGTCTATATTTATTTAAAGTTGCGCATTTTGATGTGACGTCACATTTCTCAAACCCCCCCCCCCCTCGTCACACATGTCTGACCCCCCCCCCCCAGGTGCATGACGTCATTTATGAACGGCCCCTTAACGAAGTGGCTTATCACGTGGAAATATATAGCAGACACATACTCTAAATGAATGTTTCCAAATTAAGTGAAGAAAAAGCTGATTAATTATACATATTTGTGTGCTTTGAATGCCTTAAATGCTGTTTCTCAATTTTTCCGGAATGCTCCTCGCATTATACGTTTTATTTGGAAAGTTTATATACTGCATTGTATTTTCTTATTTTGCAAAGTTAAAACTAATCTTCTCCCAAGCATGTTTCTCTTCCTTGTTGAGCACTTGACTGTGGTCCAGGTAATAACGTTTACTGCCTACAATTTACACACTACAGCATTCATAAGACTATGAAGTATATATTTTTGCCAAACGAGAATAAGTTGACAATATAAAAAAAGTATTTTTTATTAAAACGTGCGGCAAATTTTACGGCAATTTGTGCTGTGTGATAGCTCATTACCAGTGCCTTATAAATTACACAAAACCTCAACTTTATGTTTCTTAACTAAACTCATTGTTTTACACAAGCAATGTCGATACTAAGGGTTCCAATGCAGTAAATGTGCACATTTTTACTTCATTATTCCCAACCAACGGTACAAAAAAAATGACACTTTATCCAACATAGTTGTGGTTCAGTGGAGGAAGATATTTTACTTTCAGTTTATTTTTGACCATTCGGAATGTGACCAGGAGCCGAGTAAGGAGGAATTAGGTGAGTGATGTGTGTGAAAGTAATCCTTGCATTTGGGACATTAGAGAGAAGGCTTTAAAGGTTTTGACTGCTCCACTGAAATCAGTATCTGGGGGTCAAGGTTTTTTTTTTCTTAAGATGGCCTAAGAGTGCTTCTGCGAAGAGCCTAATGGCCTCAATGACATGTAGGGCGTCTTTAGCGTGTTTTGGTAGTAAAAAAGACACACAAACACACGGTGTGAGAAACTGCCCGGCATTTGGGGACATATAAGTGAAGGCTATTGTGCGTTAGAATCGAGGCCCCCCCCCCCCAACCCACACACAGAACGTTGAATTCTCACTACCCTCCACACGTTCGGAGTTTGAAACTACCAAGTGACTGTTTTTTTTGTTACTGCAGGCAGAGTGATGTTTGTGCTCTGCAGACGCGTAACACCAAACCTGTATCCACTCCTTGTTGGAGTCAGCTGCCGGCGTCCATGCGTGGACGGGGTTGTTGAGCCGAGCCTGTTTGGGCATCCACTCTTTGTTGGGGTACATTGAGGAAGCTGTGATCTGCTCATCTCGTATTTCCAGAGACTCCATTCCCAGGGGCTGGTTGCACTTCACCGCTAGATGCACGTGGTCACGGGAAATAAGTGTGACTCAAATGCACCGTGGCGTACGCAAACGAACGCGACAGTTCCCACACAAAATGCAGATAACTGCATTGACAGTAAGATAGGGGAGATACAAATGAAAAAAAAAACATTCGTTTTACACTCGTCACAGTGATGGCAAGCACCAAAGCATTTGGCCTTGCAAATGCTTAAAGTATTAAAGAGCTAAATAGTTGTTCGAAATAATTAACCCGTAATGAATAATTGCACAGCTGCAATAGCTATGTGAGGCAACCGTTGTTGGTACACAATAATCTCTTCCTTTGTGTACATCCAGTGTCCCCGAGTTGTTCAGCACATGCAGTAGCTATCGAATGAGCAAAACAGTCAATATAGTAGAACCCCTCTTAACGACCACCATGTTAACGACTAATCGCTTAACAACGGGCCTCCATAGAGCCCAATGTGTAGTGTATAGTGCAGTGTATAGAAGTGTAGTGTATAGTGTAGTGTATAGTAGTGTATAGTAGTGTCGACTAGAACCCCTATTAATGACCGCCCATGTTAGTGACTAATCGCTCAACGACGGGCCTCCATAGAGCCCAATGTGTAGTGTATAGTGTAGTGTATAGAAGTGTAGTGTATAGTGTAGTGTATAGTAGTGTGTATAGTGTAGAGTAGAACCTCTCTTAACAGACACCCCTGTTAACGACTAATCGATTAACGACGGACCTCCATAAAGCCCAATGTGTTCACTTACCGACCATTCCCCTGTTAACGACGGGCTGTTGTAGGTACAGTAAATATTAATTAACATTGATTAACCATGTTTCTTTTAATAGTATGTGTGTATAAGGTTGTTAGCATATTTATGTATTAAATCCATTGTTTTAATATTGTAAAGTACGTTTTTCAGGTGAAAAAGGGTAACTTTCGATGCTATTGGAATGAATTAAGCCTTTAACATTTTATCTACATAATGACACCTTGCCGAGATTAACTATGTTAACCTATTTGTATTTTTTTAAAATTATATCTTAAAGCTATTTTATATTCGATATTTATTCAATTTTATATACTTCAGCCCCTTGGTGTTAGACTTTTAACCCTTATTATAGTAAGACTTGTTTAAAACTTATTTAAGATTTTAGATTCCTATATGTTGAATGTATGCACCATCCTGCCAAAGTAAATTCCGTGTCGGTGTGAACTTACATGGCAAATAAAACCCTTTCTGATTCTGATTCTGATTAACGTGCATTTCCCATGCCCGCTTTACGACCAAATCACTTAACGAGCGGTTCCGTGGAACCAATTGCCGTCGTTAAGAGGGGTTCTACTGCATACGGCATTCCAGTCCTACAGGTGGGGTTACCTCTCGTGCTGCACTATAACTGTTGGGTGAGTGACCGTGGGGTGACCTACAAAGGGAGGGAGCCTTGCATGCACACCATATGCGCAGGAAAGTATATGATGTAACATGATCATTATTTGCATACGTAAAATCAAACATATAAATAACATTAGAGGCTTTTGTAAACCCGCTGGTGAGTGAGGACCCCCCCGTACAATTGGCATTCATGGGGCAGCAGGGGGTGTTGAGATACTTCACCACCTTGGTCAGTACTGGTAGAAGCGGAAGGTGTTCATAAGTTATTCACCACCGATGTTAGCCCTGACTGGGAATCCAACTCAGGTCACTGGGCTAAAAGCAGTGTGTTTACCACTGCACCACTGCTATATAAATACTGAATAGCGCATGCATTTCCATGCACATTTACACATTGACCGGGTATGCTATATATTCAAACTGCTGAACTTTAAGATATTTTGGCCAACATTTAATTTACGCAATCCAGGCTGATACGTCAGAATGATTCGGCCGCTTTAAAACCTCTCTAATATAAAACCACAACGGATTTACGATTCAATGTACATTAATAAAACACAAAAAATAGCAATTCTGTATGCAGCAACGTCTAGCAGAATGTCCCTGGAAAATGCTGGCTTTCAATATTGTCAGTGACTTTAATATAAAAAAATCTCAGCACTTTTGGACCCACCGTAGATCTCATTAAAGGTAGTCCTGAGGTTTTCTGCCATCTATATTACAAATCTCAAATAGAAATGTCACAACTCTACTCTCTCCCACAAAGGTTAAAGCACCAATTAAATATACATTTTAATATGTATTTCATATTCCTCGTGAACATATAAAGGTCATAAAAAGCACAGCGGCTAAACATTGTTAAAGCTTTGCTATCTGGCTGCTGCAGAATACTGTAAATGCAATACACTCAGTGTTGGTACTCTTATATATTTTAGTTTTTGATAATAAAATAACTCCCAAAAGACCACATGCGAGTATGATGAAGGCTACTTTGGTTTCATTGCTGGAAATTATATTTGGTGATGTGTATATTTGCTTCAATGCTGCTCAAGCTATGCACTCCCAGAAGGCCGTGGGGGCTGACGGTTGTGTAAACAAAACAAAAACACCACTTTATGCCAGAGAGATGGATATGCGAATGTGGCGTGTTTTCCCGCTTAACCGCTTTGTTACTTTGATGTTCTCCACGACGACGTTGTTGATTATATTGTGCAATGTATCATTGGAGGAGAGGTCCTCTGGGGCCAATCGCGTAAACGTTCGAGAGCACCAACGACAAAATGTTCAGTTTGACACGGAGGTTTTTGCGACAAATATTATTCATAATACAGGTTTTTTGGGTTATAATCGCGTAAATATAAGCGTGCGTCGTCACCCCACAACCACCCGACACAGCCACCCAGTAAGGTTTGTCAAGTAAAAAAAAACCGTTCCAATTGCTTACTATTTCAGCCTACCGGTGTGTTTGCAATTTGAATACCGTGACGTATCGCTGGTAATTACATCCAGCATCATCGGGCGATTTTGCCATAATTCTGGCAAAATCTCCGTGGATTATGATGTGGATTTACTCTCTAACACACCGGTGGGCTGAAGTAGTAACTAATTGGCACGTTTTTTTTTCACGTGACAAACCTTACTGGTTGGCTGTGTCGGCTAGTGGTGGGTTAACAACACATTAACACTTACGCGATCTAACCCAACAAAAACATTTGTATATAGACAAAACTTCCCTCGGAAGCCTCCCAAACACCGAGCCGTGGGAGGTCACACCCCACAGGATAATCTGGAGCCACTCCATCTGATTCCCTTTGAGGGAACCCTGCTGATGCCAGCCTTAATAGGCTTCTAGCGCTGCCCGAGTCTGAAGGAAAACAAAAGGAAGTGACCCGCTAGCCAAGCGCTGCATGCATGCGGTATGCACGCATCATGGGAGCTTGGACCACGGCCAAGTAATAATGATCTAACGTTGTTGTTGTTGTTAGATCATGATTACAACATTCAGGTCTCGAGATGACGATCTGCACAATTAAAAATAGATTTCTAAAAATGGCCGCCAATTTCCTATTTAAAGAAACAATGTACTGCGGGAATATATTAGGTTTGTACACTTGGGATAGATACGAACAACCTATATTGGCTACATCGTTACACTTTGCATACACCCTTTGTATAATCAGGTAGAAGCAACATATGCACATGTTAGTGTATTGAATACGAATAAAGATGCAGCATGATGGGTAAACTAAAACATAGCAAGCACTGTCGGTACTTTGATTTAAAATATATACAGTATTTATGCATTTACAATTTCGCAGAATTAACATAAATCATACAATAAAATAATAAATTATAATTAAAGTTAATGATGTAATAAATTAAACTGTACTTGCTTTCTCGCCATGGTTTTCTTAAACATAGTTCGCCGTGCAAAGTTCGGAGGGGAATTAAATGTCAAATATCAGGGACTTACTTTCAATAATCTTGCGTTGAATCATCCTGTATGTTGCAGAGAAGCCGTCCTTGGCGATGCCGCCATCCGTGTTAAAGGTGACGGAGAGAATCCCAGACACAGACTTTATCTCCCCTGGTGATTTGCTGCCACAGTAACGGCCAATCAGTGGCCCAACTGTGGTAGCAGCAGGATACATTATAATGGGCAGAGAGTTGAAAATCAAGAGAGAGAAAGAGAGAGAGCAAGGAAATGAGAGGGGAGAAAATGAGATGGGGAAAAGCAGACAGAAGAGAGAGGAAATGGCAGAGAGGGTGCAAAGGATATACATTCAAAGAGGGACGGTGAATGTTGGAGGAGGGTTATTGAAGTGAAATAGAGAGGGTGTGAAAGGCATTCCAGGAATAGAGATGATAAGACCGAGGGGCAGGTCAAAAGAAAAGTGAATGAGTGGGAGGGAAGATAAGGAAGAGTTGTCAGAGAAAATAAAATGGCAGAGAGAGAGAGAAACGAATGATAAGACAGACACAATGTTAGGAATGCATTGCATAAATGGTGCATTTAATATATAAGTTCAAGTCTATTGCATTTGAAAATGACAGTCAATTGTTACGGGTCTCTGAAAAATGTGAATATATGATGACAGTGACATATAAAGCAGCTTTAAAAAGTAAATGTTTTCACGGGATCAAGAATAAATTGTCGTTGGCAAAAATCCTATCAATACAGCTCACGCTTTCAAGAAATGCCAAATATTAAGCTGTCCAATTGGATTTAAATGTACTGATAGATAATCATACTTATTACTTTTTGAATAATACAGAGTACATATATAGGATATATTTTTTGCATCATAAGACCATTCATGCAATAACATGTATATATACTGTAGTATATACAGCCCCTGATAATTCATTATTATAATTGACATTAAATCTAAAATGAGACTCATATACTGTACATGTGAACACATCAATGTTTGTGAAGTTGTACTGCAAGTAAACCACTGTCCACAGACTTTGTCTCACATTTATTTCTAATGCACCACCGAATGGTTCTACCATTGCCGAACGGAAGGAGAGGCTTTAGCGTAATTTCCGGAACCTCTGCCGGACGACGGCAGACCAGCATATGTCTTGGCAGAGATAAACCCCGATAAAAGATGAGACCGTGACAGGGCTTTTCTGTCAGTCGGCTCCTTCTCATTCTGACACCTTTCATTTCCCCCGTACAACAACAAGAAACGAAACGCCTCTGCGATGTGCGTGACTCAAGTGATGGGGCGGTGACGAGGCCCCAGCGGCCGATGGCGTTCGCCGCTTGCCGCGGACGTTCGCCGTTCGATTGTAACCAGCGGTCGCCCCCCGGTTAACGCTGCGGTGCGCGCATTCACCGTTCAAACGACACGCGCCGCGGTCCCACTTCACAATTTGGATCCCCGTTACAAAAAAAAAAAGAGAATTCCCGTGACGTCTTTCGCACAAGAGAGTGGAGGACGCTGTGTGCCGGCGTCGGGGGGTCCAAGTTTGGTGAATCAAGGCTGCGAATGATCGAATCGCGGACACACGTGCCCGATCATCGCTCCCAATGTGGATGCTTGCCAAGACCCTCCTGGAAGAGTGTCTTGAGGCTTTCCTGGGTAAAGCATCATACTAATTAATGAATGAGTGATGTTCTGAGTGACCGGTACGTCACAAAAAACCCACTAAAGTCTTCGTACGTATAACGAAAGACAGGTCAAAGCCAAAGTGTCTACCTCCTCAAACAAGCATTGAGGCAGTGCTCACGTAAGTTGCTGGCCTTGAGCCAATGGTAGAAATTGCACAGTCCCATGACAGGAGAAGGTTTATTCATCAAACAACCTGTGCAAAAATTTTGATTTAAAGCTTTTGTGACTGTAGTCATTCATATTCTTAGCTCTTTCGAAGGTTTGATGGGGCTGAGGCAACCCCTGATCCGGCTATGAACGCTATGAACAAGGCACACAGCAGTCAAAAGTGGTTATCCTTTGGATAGACTCACCCCCTATCAAAGGAATGTGGAATTTCCAGCACCGGTTCAGGACTGTAAATAGGCATCGAGCATCAGCATAAATGCTCATTTGAGCAGGAAATCAGCTTAATTTTGCACTGCAGCACCACCGATCAAAATCTGTATACGGTCATTCTATAAGAGTAAGGCAAACATATGTTCACACAAAGAAGGTTAAACCAGATGACGTGTTCGTACCCCTGCTGATCCGTGCTCGCCCATTGAGAGCGTTTGACATATCCTCTCGCTTAAAAATCCCCGCGCAACTGTGAGCGGCGTCCCTCTTATCACCGGGTGAGCTCCTTAAGTCTCTGCTGCTGGGCACAATTCCCCACCTCCCCCACCCCCCCCCCATCATCTCTTAATCCCTATTCACTCACCGCTCGGTGTGATGGGAGGGAGGTAGCGAGTAAAATTTGTTTGTGAACAAAATGATGTTGGCAAAAATACTTCCCGCGCACCACCCACCCCCAAATGCTGCGCGAGTGATACAAACAGATGGTGCTGTCGTGAGATTATGATTACACGTACGCATTAAGACCTTGATATAATGGGGTGAAGTTACGCCAGTATCATCGGCTAGATCTGATTTACACGACAGCTCGAGGCACATTGAGAGTGCATTATCTCCAGCCAGGCTCATTGGCTGGGAATTATGTTAGGGTGTATTACAAGCATTTGAGCTATGCCAATTTCACATTTGGAAGCATAGGTTGGTCGCTGCTGTACACAATATCTTATCACGATTGTGGCCTTGGGATAACGTGGTAAGACTATATAGTATTATGTTAATAATCCCTCGTAAAAAAAGGTTAGATTGCTGTACAATTACCGTCTTGTTCTACTCCACAAGACATGAAAGACTCTTTCCATTGTTTAAAGCAGGGGCAGGGAACCTTTTTTTCTGCCAAGGGCCATTTGGATATTGCTACCATCATTCGCGTGCCATACAAAATTATCAACTTAAAAATTAGCCTGTTATATTTGGTCAAACATTTAGTTAACTCACCCCTAATGCGATGGCTGGAACTGCTTCTCTTTGGCGAGGCGTGTGGAGATATTAGCTGGCATTGATGATGTTAGCTGGTATTGATGATGTTGCTACTCGCAACTGCTTTTCCAGGTTTGCTCCTAGATTTATTGAATTTCGAGTCCCGCCTGCGGTTGCCTTGGCAGGGCCACACCAAATGATTTCGCGGGCCTCATACGGCCGGCTGGTCGGACGTTCCCCACCCCTGGTTTAAAGCCAGGCTGACGGAGTGGATCTGCTAATAATCTCCTTTGGATAGCATGGCCTTAAAGTTATCACATATGTGGGTGGCATACTAAGATGGTAAAATATTAGATTTCAAAAAAATATTTTTTATTCTTAATTACAGCGTATTATATCTACCTGTGTTCATCAGCGAGCCCTGGGTATCTATAGAACATTCTCATTACTCTCAGTCACTGAACATGAACTGAAGCCATTTCTGGGCTAATTGATCTGGCTGTAGACTTGCACCGTCACTATTCATTCAGCCATTCACAAGAGGGATCATTTTCAATAAATGCACATGCTATGAAACTTTAGTAAAAGCATGTGACAGACGTTTGATGATGTTCTTGAAGCACTTTAATGTCGTGTACCTTTCGCAGTTTAAGGTCAGTGGCTAGATCAAGTTTACGTGACTAATACTCAGACATACAGATGGTGTCCTCTAGGAGCTACGCAGGTACTGTAACATTGTAGTGAGGTCACGTAGGCAAAAACAACTTTCACAAAAGCTTGACATATTTTAATTACTGCTTTGCCTACATGTTACGTCTGTGATGGTCAGTGGCTGGAAAAGATGTCAACCAGTCAGTGCTATCAACAGGTGGTTATACAAATCCGCAATCACGGGACGTCAAGAATATCGGCAATCGAAATAAATCCCACATCAAGTTTGCCTTGATGCGATGCTCAGTATTCTGACCGGATTTCAGATAGCACTGTCAAGGCTTTGGAGCTTTAGGTTGCTTACAGTCGGTAAACACGCTCAGGGACTTGTGGAGAACGGTGAGGTGAGACATAGCAACGTTGGTTTCGTGGTACAGTGATGCATTTTTGTTCACATCAACTTTATTCCAATGTATTATAATTATTTGCAGTTCAACCCCCTTGAGATGCATTGAAATTCGTGTTTCTTGCCAGGATTTAGATTATAATTATTTTGTAATTGCTGGAAATATTCAATTTTGTAATTTGTGAATTGTGAGACAAGCCTGCACATTTTTGGCCGCGAGAAAAAAAAGATGTAACGAATACTCTGCAGGATATCCTGTTCCCCTTACTGGCTTTGCCAACTGACAGAAATGAGCACCACCCTTTGCTCGTGTGAGCGTGAAGAGATTGATACTTAAAGTGAACAGCTTGCTCGATAATGCCACCTGGTATTTACGGAATACGCAAAGTGTGATAACGTTCTATGAATAAATGAACAACACAAGCTACTTTCAATAATACAAGTGTTACTTCATGTAAACAACATTGCATTAAAAGCATAAAAACTGAGAAAAAATTTACGTTGGTCCTATTTCCGCATTACTCAACAGTTGTAATTCCTACAGCACTATTGAGATTACATTTCATACTCACACAAAATGGCTACGACAATTCATCACGTAAATGATACATTTTATACATTATAAAAAAAAATAACTAGAACTACACTGAACCAATTTAAAAGGATGCATATAACTACATAAATCGCCTCAACTATAATTCGAGCCACGAAATTCTGCAAAAAATGTGCCACCGAAAAGCAAAAATAAATACGATGTACTTCATCCTCGCAGGGGCTTTTTGGCTAGCCATTGACCAAAGACGGTAACTGCAACTTGCGCTCTTTGATGCGCCTCTGCGGCCTTCTGGAATGCTCTTCCTTTCGATGTGAGGAAGCCACCGGAGATATGCCCTTTTAAATCTCGACTGAAAATTCATTTCCTGAAAACTGCTTTTTGTGTTTGGGTTTGTTGCCCTTCCCCAGCACCTCCGGTTAGCACGGTGGGCTACGTACGGTGCTAAAGAAGTCCAACATACATACATGTTCAAACTCGCACTTGGGTAGGACTCATCCCTATTGACCTGCCCTGAGCCAGGCTTTGGAATGTTACATTCCAATGGTGAGGACCAGTACATGTCCACTTAACCTCGTAGGAATGAAAGTTTGATTCTACTTTTCACTGACATGTCACTCACGACCATCTGATTGTGAATCGATTCCTAAGCGACAGCATTGCCCGGCTGCAGTAGGATAGAACACATTTGGACTGCACAGTCTCATAAGAAAACCTTCAGTAACGTACAAGCCTACCAGAGTGCATTTGGAATGTGTACGCGACAGCTTGGCCTAGCCAGCAGCGTCAAAAGCTGAACATTTCCCAGCAGTAAAACTAAAGGAGACTCAACTGCGAAACGCAGTTTGTAGAGAAGCCACGATACTCCACAGAGTGCAGTCACCGAGAACCATCAGGCAGTAATGGAAAACTATTTGTAATCGGGTTAGAATATCAAAGTGTTGGAGAGAGACTCAAATGTGGCAAGACAGTTTTCTAGGCAGGCCACTAATGTGGTAGGAGGGGACGGGGGTGGGGGTGTATGCCCCCTCCCCACTCGAAAGCCATGTCATCCAACATCAGCCCCATCTCACAAATTACAGCAATATGCCACTGCTACACTGTACTCATTCATGTCAACCAGTGCCCGCGCACGACATCTTGACTGGCTTTGGACCTGGTTATCGATGTAATCGGTAAAATGAAGGAAATTGTGAGATGAGTGGAACCCTGTGTTGGAGAACGGAGGAGGATGGTAGTTTACCGTGACTGGCATTGTGAGTGGAGATACGGAGGTTTGCGGTCAAAGGAAAGGCATAAAGCCAAGCGGTGCACTACTTTAGGAGCAGACCTCTGGAGGTCAGAGAACAGCTGCAGCGTCGAGCACGAGGAAGTAAGGGATTGTGACGTGTGGTGGCCTCGCACCTCCTGACCTTCCCCTTTGCTCGCATGAAGAACTGACACATCCTCAGGATTTGTTATTCTAGCTAGCATCATCTTCAATAGGCGAACGTACCCATCAGTTTGAAAACAGATTGTGGGTAAAAGACGTCAATAATCGCTAAGGATCCATATCCTGTGTTTAGGCCGCACATCATCACTGCACTGATGATCCCATATCACGGGCCAATGCAGAATGCAGTTAATTATGCTCTTAGGTAGTCTTTGAAAATGTCAACACAGTAACTTGTAAATGTCCCTCTACCGTGGGGGCAACTGTGGTGTGACTGTAAAACATTGCATAATCGCAACTGCAAATGGGGGATACTGTTTCATCTGTCTCGCAGCACTTAAGTGATTTGTCTTGAGCTAAAGTGAGATTGAGAGCGTGTGTGAGGGTATAGACTTTCACTTGGCCGTAGTTTTTTTTTATCGACGTTTTAGTTAGCGCTACAGCTTTCCGCGTGATGTACACGAATTTTGCTTTGACTATAATTTTGATGTACGTATTTAACGCCAGCGTGATATTCTTTACATTCCTCAAGACTCCTTGCGTATTTGGTACAACAAAATAAACGAACCGCCCATACATTAATTTAACAGCTAGGCTGCACCAACACTTGATCCCTTTGATTTTCACTCAGGGAAGAGTTACTGTGCATTGGGTCACCGGTCAAACTAACCTCACGCCATTGCCCTCTTGGAGAAGGCAACGATTATAAAAGTATGTATGCTAGTTTGGGGGAATTACAATGCTCCCATGTGTCTTACATTTCATGCACCTTGGGGCCACGCCTCATTGACACGAAGGCCCTTTTAAATATCCACCAACAGCTGACCCAGATCTATACGATACCGATACCCCTCGGCGCACAACGCAGTGTGATTTAGGGGCACTCAGAGGGGCCCACCGCATACACGCAGGCAGGCAAGTGGCCACTCTAGCCGTGCAGGCTGGGAAGGGTGTTTGTGCAGAGGAAATGGCTCATTTGTGCCTTGCCGTTGCCCGGTGTTATTTGGGCTGCGGGGTGTAAAGTGGCGCCCTGGCCGGGCAGTGCGTGAGCATGTGCCTACAATTAAGGAAGATGGAGGCTCGCGCGCGTCAAAGTTTTAACGGTCTTTTGGTTTTGCGGTCCGAATCGCTGTGCTTTCCCAATCTCGTCGCGTCGTTGACCGGTGTAGCAAGCGTTCTCATGAAGTCTGTTATGAAGTGGAATATGATTGATGCGGTGTGGAATTAACGTGGAAGCCTGAAGGAAAATTAACCAGAACTGGCACGCTGCAGCGAGACGCCAAACGCCGTTACAGCCATGCATTCGAGAGGCCTGGTATGTGTTTATGTTCTGTTAATGCACTGAGACCTTTTTTTTCGTCTATAAATCCCAAGGCCAGAGTGGGAGAATGAGGGGGCAGGAAGAGGGAAACACTATTGTGGCTGCGTCTGTCTTCGTGCTGTCACCGCGACATGTTGGGCCCTATATTCATAAACGTGCAACATCTAACTCGATCATTGCATATTTCTCCCAAACCAAACACGATTTCCTTAGTTCACGAAACAATAAGGAATCATTTCTAAATTTGCAGCAAGCTATAGGGAGAGGCATGTGAAAGGGCCAAGTTTGTATATTAAATTATCTCACCACGAGTGATTAGAATTGTATTTCTGCCGGAGGGCTGAGTCAGCCCTGAGCACCGTTCTCATTGCATGAGACTCAATGTGGTGTGCATAAAGGCCGCGTGAATTTGACAATTGAACCATGCGCACACCGGCGTCTTGCCAGGGTCCCTTGTGTGAATATTAAATGCATCAAGTTTGGGCACTTTATTACATCGCATTAACAAAAAAGCATGCTCAAATATTATACACACCGTTAAGTGTAGAAAATTCTGCATTCGTAATGCATTTGTGTGTGCCATGTCTTGTTAGTTTCAAACACACACACACGTGTACTAAAAGCACCCAGCCTGTGTGTGCGATGTAAAAACCATCAGGCAGTTCCTCAAGGACTGCATTGTGTTACAACTTATAGTTTTCTGGCCCGCAAAATTATTTTGTTAGAAATTAGATTTTATGTTACAGATTTGATTTTTGTGTTACAAATTGTAATCTTGCCCTTTCCTTTTTTTTGCATTTTTTTCATTACAGTGCATGACTTATACATAAACACATCATCGTTGCAGAATTAAGTATTACTTTGCAATACAAATTGCACGCTTGACTCCATAACATAATTTACCATTCCATGTATGAAATGAAGATGTTAATGCAGTACATATCAAAACAAGCTACAACCAAAGGCAGCTTTACACTGCAGATGGAAAATGTAATATCTAATTTTCAATATCTCAACATGGCAGTCGCTCTCTTTTACATAAATATATTCCGACAAATACTAAGCGTCGCATTGAACTAAGCTAAGCAAGGTGATTCAGGCCGCAGCCTACAGTTATTATAAATGAGTGTGCGACTGAATGCACCCTAAATATCCCGTCCGCTGCACTGAACCACCAGTCAATATGACACATAAAGCACGCCTTGTAGTTGAAAGAGGCAGCACGACATCGCTGCCATGTTCATCATTGCGTTAAGTCGCCCTGACCCAAATCATCACGACAGTCTGCACGCATTGCGCTTGACCTCGGCAGTGGCAAATGGTGTTGACATGGGAAAGCTACCAAGACCTGGGTGCCCGGCTCACCGCCCGTCACTCTCAAAACTAAACAACTAAAGCTTAACTTTTTTATTTTAGCAGGTAAGGCCAGCTGAGCTATATAGCTCTTTATCGGAAGCGACCTGGCAACAAATGATATCTTAACTAAGTGACTTATCATGTGGAAATGTACTGCAGCCAAATACTCTAAACGCGTGATGTTGATTCGAAATGTGGAGGGGAAAAACCGGAGGACCCGATGAAAAATCCACGCGACCACGAGGAGAACGCGCAAACTCGAAATATATTGGCGTCAGGGTTGGAATAGAACCCATGACCTCCTGCATACCAGGCGAGGGAGTTAACATCTCGCCACCATGGCACTCACCGTGCGGCAGCCCGTCCCACACCTCCAGTCGGTCGAATCGACACTCGGCATCTGGTTGGGCAGCCGGCTCAGCCTCCAGGCTGAACACGTGGAATCGCAGGACAATCTCAGACTGTGGCGGAGCGGAGATGATGTAGGTGCACTCCAAGTTGTGGCCGTACGGTTCGGGGTATCCAGGTGATTGCAGCGTTCCATTGGGCGTCGTAAACGTATTGGAGCATTCGTCTGGGTGGGAAAGAAATGTCGCCCAGATGCAATGAGCACACGCTTCTCTCTCGCTCCTGCTTATGGCAAACAAAGCACATCTGCACAATTCAAAACAAAGCTCGTCTCTGATAATTGCTTTAAAGGAAGCTGTCGCGATATTTTCAATATTGCATGCTGACGCTCGGTTAAATTTCAGTGCAAGATTTTCTGGGGATTTATAAATTATGAGCCCCTCATAGTTTATTGCATCAGTTTGTTTCCCTCTTACTTTGACTTTTTCAATCCCATGCCTATTTTAAATGCAGAGCATATAAACTATTTTCTGCATAATTTATACCAATACGGTCAGTTGGTTGCACATGGCTCCGTGGCAGAATGCCTGACTCACACACACGCGCGCGTTTGCGGATTAAAATGCCGTTCAAGGGTTTGGGTTAGTCTATCATCCCTCTGACATCTGTAAAATAAGTACTACTTTGTGGGTGGTCAGCAGTGTTTGTTTAATGGGGGGGGAGGGGTGGGGGTCTGGACCCTGCAATGGGAATGTAGAATTTCCACCACGAGCTTAGGACTAGAAACACAGATGGGTACTGCCAAATTCTAATGAGTTGTGTATGAACAACGCTGTCCTCGAGACAGCCTGATCCCTTCACCTGATGAAGGCCACTTGTGTTGTGGCCGAAACGTCGTGATTTTTGTTGTTTTATTTTTTTACCTACGTGACTTTACCGAATAGAACCAAAGAGTATGAACAGCGTCTTGCATTGTTTACCACGGCGCAACCCACATTACAAATTGTTCGTAGTGAGCATCTGCGAAGGCCAGCTCAACACTCTCTTGTGTTGAGCTGGCCTTCGCAGATGCTTACTGCGAAGGCCAGCTCAACACTCTCTTGTGTTGAGCTGGCCTTCGCAGATGCTTACTACGAGCATTTTCAATGTATTTATGCGTATTTGAAAGACATTACGTTTGCATACATTTGTGTGAGCGTATTTGTATACTGTATTACAAAATGTGTCGGAAGTAAGAATAAAAAAAAAATAAACGAATTTACGGCCATATTCTTGAGCCTTTCAAGAATATGAATTCCTGTAGTCACGAAAAATCTTTAAGTCAACAATTTACGGCAAATTGTCAAAGGACTGCTGTGGCTTTCCCGTGCAGTATTCGTTGCACGGGGATTGTGTGCACATCCTTCGCCGTGCTGGTGAGTGCATGTTGGCGACGAGGAGACAGTACCATGTCAGACATCAACCGCCACTGATAGTGAACCATGATCGGGGAATCAAACTCAGGTTGGCGGGGTCTTAGCGCAGTGCGCCTCGCGCTGTACCACCACTCCACCTGGCAGCTACAACACCAAATAAGTAATCTATGTTACTGTCAAGAGTGAATGTTAGCAGTGTGCTTGGTATACAGTGGATTTTTGCACTAAAACTAAAAACCACACAATTACACGTGATAGTTGGATATTATTGCCCGTACTGCGTAGCGACCGAAAGCAATGTGAATTTAATTACGGTCAAACAATATGTGGCTGATCCCACTTGAGGATTCACAAAACAAGAGGACGTTTAATGGCAACAACAACAACAACTTAAGAATGTTGTGCTTGAAGGGTCACTGCAAAAAAATAACAAGGAACACAGAGGCCATTTGCAATAATTACACTTTATGTGGCGATTAAGATACTTTCACAAACGAGCTTTTTGTGCAAAGAACAGAAAAGGCACGAGACATTCGCAGTGATTATCATCTGACCAACAATCCTGAAACGCAGTGTTAGAACTCACTAATTATTTGGTGACGCTGCTGCTGCTGCTACGTTTCCAGCGGTGCTCAAGCACAGTGAACAAAGAAACCACTCGACACGTTCGTCAATGACGCTGTGGCCTTGAAAAGAAAAACAACGTTGTATAATAGGCAACGTTTCAGGTAATGGTCCTTCTTCACAGCACACAGAGAAAGAACTCGACCTCTCTGGCCTCTCTCTCTCTCTCTCTGCGTGCACTGTGGGGAAGTGTAATTTCTCAAAACATTGCCTCTTTTAGACTTTCGTACTTTTATTTTTTTAGGGCACAGCGTTATTGACGAATGAAATTAGTTTCTAGTTTTTGGTTAGAAATCACAGATCACGTGTGCGTTCACTTACAGTTCCCTCATAAGCATTGCCAAATGGGAAATGTGAATGCGGCACTACTTTAATGCTTAAAACAGCTGCCCTCGGGTTTTGCCAACATTAATGTGTCTTGCACTCTGGCCAAGCAATGGGGGTAACTCGGGTAAACTAAAATCTGCATTGTGCACATTTATTTTTTAAAGCTAGCAGACGGATACAAATACACACGGTGAAAATGTTTTCATTCACGTCATCATTTTTTGCAATGCAGCGAGTCACATCAGTTTGCCGTACTGTAATAGCATTGCCATATCGCATCATTAATCCGAGAGTGAACTTCAATACGGAGCATAACACTGGGTTTGTACACATATCTATAAGTGCGTAGTCCACGAACGCGTGTCACGTTTACCTGCCATTACTTTGCAGTGTAAAATACACGTCATTCATGAGCATGAATAACTCATCTGCCTGTAAACACGAGTTTGCATGCCATTTTGCACCATTGTACACACGATGATGAATAAGCGCTGAGCATTCTTGATCGCAACGAAATTCATGTGCGGCACACAATGTACCCCACAGTCAGAGCATGTCGCACGGTGAAAGCTGGGTGGTATGTCCAGTATAATGATGCTACGTTGTTTTTTTTTGTCCTTCCTCGCACTCCCGATTAGCACGGTGGGCTACGTATGGTGTGAAAGAAGTTTAACATACATATGTTGCATTGCATTGCATTGCGACGCAACACTGCATTGTAGGTGTACTGGTCGTTTACAGGACACGCGTTGTTATAGAATAGGAACGAACACATTGTATCACAGAGGATACAAGCACAATATCGCTTGCCCGTGTCACTGCTGGCAGAAAGGGCCCCTACGAGAGAGGGCTCCCGAGAGCCCACTCAGGAAGGCATTTGGCCAACTGAACCTTATGGCGGGACCCCGGGGTCCCGGATAAACGGAAGTCAAAATCGTAATTTATTTCTTTTTGGCGACTCCGTCCCCACCGCGCACATGAACGCCGCGACCCGCCTGGCCGCGGATCGTTCTGTCGTCGCGTCGTCCGAGCGCAGCAGCAGTGAGGACGAATGTGCACTAGAAACAAAACTCTTAAACTCTGATGAGCGCATACGTGTTAGAGATCGTCGAGAGGATTAGACTGCCGTGTCGTTCGCCTTCAACAGACATAAAACGACGTCGCAACGCAGTTTATGCGAGAGCCGGGGGCTTATGTGACCCCGGTGTCCCGCCATGAGGTTCAACTATGCCATGCTGACCAGACGTGTTATGGCACTCAATAGCGTGGATTTATTGTATTGAGCAAAGGCGTTATGTACGGCGACGTGCTATTCTGTAAGCTTTGCTTGATTGTGTGCTCTGATTAAATGCACTGAGCCCGATACGTGTAGAGTTCGTCTTTACACTTTGGTCGAATGCCGGTGTCAGCAGAATGCTGAAATATGGGCCAGTCCACAATTGTGGCAGGAACTTTGGCAGCATGGGTGTGGTTTTGTATAAATCCGGCAACAAATGAATTGTGAAATGTGTAACTTTGCTAAGGCATTGAAACTACAGGAGTGTATGGTTGCATGTATGTATGTTGAACTTCTTTCGCACCCTACATAGCCGACGGTGCTAATCGGAGGTTGCGGGGGGAAGGACAACAAACTAAACCCAAAACTCAGTTTTACGGAAAATTACTTTTCAATCTTGATTTAAAAGTGCATAGCTCCAATATCGGAAGGAAGAGTGTTCCAGATGTCTACAGAATCACATCTCACAGCGCGCAATGCTGTGCCCATATTCTTTATCGATGGTGAGCCAAAAGCCGCGGCGAGGATGACCGGAGTTTGCGTTCCAGTTTACGCTCCTTTGTGATATATAGAAGGAGCTGAAGCAGCTCAAGCGAGACGCTGACCTGTTTTGTAGATCTCGTATCGGAGGGAGAATCCTGCTCCCTGGGTGGCATAGTCCGACTTGAATCGGATGAAGAGGGTGGCACCTGAGGAGGTCTGCGACGGTGGTGCAATGTTCCCACAGAACTTCCCAAGCAGTGGCGCACTGTCGTCCGCTCCGTCCCGGATCTCCACAAAGTCGTACCTGCGCAGAAGAGAACCGCAGCTTGAAGCCGCGAATGGGCGGCAGGGCGGTTGCACGGTTGGTAACACTTGTGCCTCACGGGCAGAAGAACCTGGGTTCGATCTCTCTCTCTCTCTGTGTGTGTGTGTATAGAGTTTTGCATGCTCCGTTCTGTTGGCCAAAACACCGGCGAATTACTCAAGAGTGATGACGCACGGCCACGTAGCACCCTAACCGCAACAACTTGGCGGGCCCTCTCCTGCAAGAGACTTGAGAGTTAGTCAGTGAGGCTTTCCTGCGTAAACAAGCGGAATCATGATACTCGTAATAACAGTCAAACATCGACCATCTCCTGCCTTCGTGAAATATTCTGGCAGTGCCCATCTCCACCGGTGGCCCTGAGGCAGCTGTGCATATCCCACATTCCCACGATTGATTCAGGCCTTTCCATTGGACAAGCACCGTTGAGTTTATACAAAGAGTGACCGTTTTCACTGCATTCACCTCGATGTGCTGATTGATTGCGAGTTGAGCGCTCTGCCAACAATGCCACTGCAGCCAGCTCAATGATTACCCGTAGCTAAAAGGAGCACATATGCTCGTATTTCATTATTAAGATATTTGGTAATGAACTGCACCTCCAATTAGCGCGCGGTTTGGCGATGTACGGTGCGAAAAAAGTTAAACTTACACACTTATATATCCTGGTACACTGAGTTACATTGTTGGAACATAAATAATTTTACAAAACAGAGACAACAACATCATCACTAGATTGTCCATTCACAGTGATGGTATCACTATCCTTATGTACAGTAATCACTTAAGCTCTGGTAGTCTTACAGCAATACGTAAATCCCATTATCATAGCAATGGCCTTACCACATGTTACTCCCGCCATAACTATTACAACAACATGAGCCTTTTCAAAATACTGTACAGCAAATACACGTAGATATGACTTACCTCATGAAGTATGCGTGGCAGGTGTAACCAGATATTTTGCTTGCTAACTCAATTCATTTAAACCATAGGTTTTAAAGAAAATTATATATATATGACAGCCATCTATGCAGCATTTTTAAATGTCTCTGACCCACAAAAGACAATATCTCAGTGTAGATTTTTTTTATTTAAAAAAGTCAGTATCGTATGTATCATTTTGGCTTTGGAGGTTCTTGCATTTGGAAATGTTTGAAGATTCGTTTTTCGAGATTAGGGATAATGCATGATGTTTTACTGTTAATATATAGCGCTCTGGAAATACAATATACAATACATATACAGTATTGAGGAATATGTTAAACGCAGCGTCTCTCTCTTGAGATGCCATCTGACATGGGTCTAAATCCCTGCTTGAACAAAAACCACATCTTTCAACAGCTAAAACGACTTTCAACTTGTAAATAGTAATTTTTTTAAAATCATCTTCAGCCATGATATTTCCACGGCTGGATGAAAGCCCTGCCATCTCTCTATATTCATGGTGGACATCCGGTTGGGTGCCTTCCCGACGTTGGCAGCTACTTATGCCATTGGTCTCAATCATTGGTCTCAAAAACCTAGTTTCTATTTCTTAACATCATAACTCTTCCGAAAAAAAATATTCTGAAGCAGAAGGTTAGTGCCGGGCACAACCACATTTGCCAATGTAATTTGTTACTTTGATCCTTACCCACGTATTGATAAGTTCAATTGTAACGTGAAATTTTCTTTATGGACTGTGTTGTCTTGGTGTGGTGTGGGACTGCTTTTGTTTTGCTGCCTGCCCAAGATTGCATTTGGTGTTGAAACATCGGCAGGAATTGATGTACTTATGCAACTTGTACTTACATATATTATTTTTTTATTCATATTTAGTGACTTGTTTAGCTTTCCTATACTTTGCGCTCCTATCTGTATTTTGTATAAATTGTTGTAACTTTCTGACCCACCGTTACTGTACACCTGTGAAAAAAAGAGCCTAATAGCTCATCGGATTCTTCCAGTCTAAATCAAGATTGCGATTCTGAAGTGCGCATTCTTCATCTGAACGGGTCCAGGTGCCCTCCTTCACGAACCTGCACTGACCAGCATGGTGAAGTATGGTCAAGCAGCATCCTCGTAACTAATACGATTCGGGTCACAGTCAGTCCAGACGTGGATTTCCACCAGATCCGAACTGCGCGATCCTGTGACTAATACTGCACTACGATACTGTACAATCGCGATGTAAACTATAATAATACGTGATGTAGCCATATAACAGAGGTGCAATAGCGAAACTGGATGATTTACACGCAAAAAGAAATAGTTATTAACTAAAAATGGGAAGCTTTTAGGTATAAATGGAGAATGTAAAATAATGTCAGATGAAAAGCCCAAAGCACTTTCATATCCTCTGCTTGCACTGCGGGGTGCACTAATAACAGCTGATACAAGTGCAATTGTGCAATACAGCCTTCACAGGACTTCATTAATGCAAGAAGAGGCCACGTTAAACGATCAAAAAAAATCTCGAAAATTAAAATTCCTAATAGACGCTGGCACTTTCACAGGGCTGCCCAGATAACGTATCATGCCAAGAACATCGTAGCTGTAAATCCTGGATCCCCATTGGGTGGGTGCTTGCGCTGCCGTTTTCGGCACTGCACGCTCGCGCATTCTGATGGCCGATGCAGCACTTGCCGAGAGGAATTTCTGGAAGAATGCCGCATGCGCTGGCTGTTTCGAAGCCCTCGTCTTCGCAAGCAGCACTTTTGAGCGGCCAATTGTAGCAGGCAGAGCTGCTCAGTGGCCTCGCACCGCGGCTGCCCACCAGAGTGAAGTTGGCACAATATTGAACTTGCGGCTGCCTGGTGTGATCAACGGCGGAGGGCCATATGACCTCCCGGCAAAATGAAAATCGACGTTGAATGTCTTTTTTGCACCGTACGTGGCCAACCGTGCTAATCAGAGGTGCGGTACATAGCGGCGTGCACTCTTTTCCCACTGGTATTTAATGATCCTGTGGTGTAGTTTGCAAGAGCAGGAAATTGTGTACCACTGTCGTACTCCGCATCTACGGTTATAATAGGGGGGGGGGGGGGGGGAGTATGAACCCAGTGACCTGAGTGTGATTCCTAGTTTTGCCCCCCCCCCCCATGTCCCCACAACCCACCTTGGGGCACCTCGGTGATGAGATGTTAACGCCCTTGCCTGGTATACAGGAGGTCGTGGGTTCGACGAAGACGACTCCGACGCCTGTGTATTTGGCGTTTGCACGTTCTCACCGTGGTCACGTGGACTTTTTCTCCGGGTCCTCCGGTGTTTACCTCCACATTTAGAAACGTGCGCGTGGAGTATTTGACCGCTATACATGTCACGTGATAAGCCACTTCGTTGAGCTATTCATTTGTGAAAGCCAGGTCGCTTCTGAAAGAGAGCTATATAGCTCAGTGGGACTTACCTGGTAAAATAAAATAAAGTTTACTTAATTTTTTTTTAGTTTCACCTTAACGAACCTGTGCCCCGACCAGCGTGGTGAATTATGGTCGCGCGATTCGCCGGACTGTCACGCGGTAGGTTTAGCCCATTTAGTGAGGTGCTGAAGAGCACTTTGCTGCCACGATCCTGGCCTTTTCTAGGTCAAATCAACTTAAAAAGTACCTCGCGTAGAGTCAACAATGGCTACAGGGGAAACAAAGGCAGCTGGACAAGGCGCTGGCCATAGCATCTCCTTGTCTGCCATGTTAACGTTAACAGGTGTTTGCTAATGGCACTTACGCCAACATTCTTTCAGGGTTAAAATGAGGGGTATGGTATATGGCCCTTTTTTTCTTTGAAAAAATAAATATTTGCCACGAAAAAACACACAATTTGAACATTTTGCAGCTGCAGCATTAACTGTATGTACTATTTAAGAAGTTGAACGATAGCCACTCATGTTTTACACACATGCGAATGTATATGTACACAGATTTTCCCACCCTAAACAATATATATTTATGGCTCTTAGATTTATGTCGCGAACAAATTAGGTTGTCTACTCTGTTTACAAAAAAAAATCTGCGGCAGCTTCATGGGCCTGCTCCAGTTGTTTGCCTAGTTGCTATTTCATAATTGAGAAACAGCAGGAGAATACACGACCTTTAAAGAGCACTTCCTCTTCCTCTCTAGAAGCTATTTAGATACTAGTTTTATTTCTATTTACACGGTTAATGAAGTAAATATTTTGAGTATTGTTCACAAACGGGTTGAATTGTTTTTTTCTTCCGGGAATTGAGCAGCGGCTGGCCCGTGTAATTATAGTAAAAGGAGTTTCCTCCTCTGCTTAAATTTAACTGACGTCCGTCCCGCCCATCCTGCGGCTTGAAAGCTGTCAAAGTCACTGCATTAGCGGCCCACCAAAACTTTGTTGTTCATCTGCTCGTTTTCTTGGAGACAAAACAACTATATTTATTTACAGCTGTTTGCGGTCTGCATTACATTAGGCCCTGACGTTAGGTCTCACCATGGTCCGTGGTCAATTGTAAAAAAAAAGACACTGCATGTACAGGCACTGTTTGTTGTCACTTTAGTAAAAAAAATAACGAGACGTGAGCAACGACACAATGAGCCTGATTGTTTCAAATACAATAGTAGTAGGGCATAACAAATATATAAATAGATTTTTTTATTGAGAACCGCATTTCTAAACGATGCATGCATAGCGATGTAATATATATTGTGAAAAAAGCAACGTGGTCCCTTCACCTGATGAAGGCCGCTTGTGTTGTGGCCGAAACGTCGTAATTTTGTTTTTTTTTGTTTTATGTTTTACCTACGTGACTTTACCGAATAGAACCAAAGAGTGTGGATCCTTGCAATCACGAAAGCTTCAAATCTAGAACGTGAGTTTTTGTTTATTTCTCATGGTTGCTACTGCTGCACCACGGATTCCTGGATTCTCGTCATTAAAACGACGAACGTGATATCACCAAACAACGGAGCAAACACTTCATTTTTAGTCACATCGCTAAAGCATCAGGCCCAGAATGGCAACAACAAAAACCCATTGCCTA